ACTACGTTCATTGTTAAATGCAAACAAATTCTCCCTTTAAAACTTAGCCAATCCAAAGAATCTTGTTTCTTTATTGGCCATTACATTGTTGCAACCGAAGTATATAAACGGTTAAAACGAATAAAATTACTCCGCATAACGAATAGCAAATCATATATTACAGAGTGGTTAAGCCGCATTCAACGCTACTCAATTAAAGGCTGATTTTAGATGAACTCACTTGGTGAATCTCTTCGAATCCATGCTCGTCTTTAACACCTATGATCGCGTGATCATAGAGGAGAGCATGCGTGCACCGAGCGGAAATATCGGTTGAAACGGCGTAGTAGAGGGGTGTAAGTCCCTGCCAATCTCTGCAATTCGGATTTTGACCCAAATCCAGGAGAGTCTAAAGGACATTGGAAAAGTAATCATAAAGATGAACTCGATATAAACGATTTCTGAATAATTTATTTAATCAAAGATCCTGAAATAGGTAACTAAAGGACAGCTTATTTCACTTATTATGATTCGATGGCTTAGACCAGATTAATCAAATTTCAAATTCAGTTCACTATTAAAAAATACAAGTATGTGGAATTAATGTAATTTAAAACAGCTTCATTCCAAAATAACGCTATTTAGAGATTAATGTCAAGTAAGAACAGATAAATGACAAGGGTTAGCCCTGAGAAAACCTTAGGCGTCAGTAATGGGGAATTAAAATCCAAATTAAGTTAAACAGCGAGAATGAAGTATTGTGAATGGTGATTCTCTATCTACAACTAGGTAACTTAATTTGGCCAATATCACTCTAACAAGCAAGTTGAATCTTTTCAGTAGCTGAGTCTCTCTGCTTCGATTTGGTTCAGTAAGGTTGCAACAATCCTTCTTACATCTTTGGAGTTTACTTTCGTTCATCGTTATTTGTCAAAAAAATGACAAAGATACGAGTTTGGGTGAGTGAAATACTTGGAAAGCCTGAGCAGGCCAATGAGTCAAGTGGCATATTCACGACTGACAATAATATTTTATTTTATTTTATTTCAAATGGCAAAATGCCGGTTAACAGACTTTTTTGCCGTATGAGTATACGTTGCCCAGGTTGCACCACGTGGAGGTAAGTCTATCGCGCACCCCCTGACAATAATATTAACAGCGCAAATTTTAACAATTACAAATTCCGTAAGCAAGTTCGAATCCTGCTATTATATCATTTTTAAATTTAAGTCACATCTGATTGGTTTTTAAATGTCTAATAGTCATATTTCATATATATTCTGCCCATTGAATAGAAACGATAGTGTGGGACACGTTATCGCGTTGTGCGTCGTCGTATGCCTGCATGTCTGCTCACTAGGAATGGGAGGTGCGGCCGTACAAACAGTGACCAATCATCAACCTCTGTATTGGGAGGTGCGACCGTACAAACAGTGACCAATCCTTAACATCTGTTTGTTTAACCTAACCCCAATCCTGATATGATTGAAGCTCCCTGCGTGTACACTTGATCCGCAATATACGTCCTGTATAAACGTGCTCCGTGCTAAACGTCTGTTTTCTCGTATCGAATAAACGTATTCCTTGCTACACGTCTGTTTTCCGCTACTGAATAAATGTTCCGTGCTACACGTCTGTATCCTCTGTAGAATAAACGTGCTCCGTGCTAAACATCTGTTTCCTTTATATGCAATATACGTACCGAATAAACGCATTTCGTGCTACACGTCAGTTTCCCTTATAGCTGGACTATAGCTTAGTTTCTGGGAGTCTAGCTAGATGTAGGAGAATCTGCCACAGATATAAACGCGCTCCGTGCTACACGTCTGTTTTCTTTATAGCTGAGCTATAGCTTAGCTGTTCTCTAGCTAGAGGTTGGAGAATCTGCCATAGAGATTTCTGATTCCTAGCTAGATGTTGGAGAATCTGCCATAGAAATTTCTGAGCCGGTAGCTAGATGTTTGAGAATCTGCCATGGAGATTTCTGAGTCGGTCTCTAGATGTTGGAGGATCTGCCATTGAGATTTCTGAGTCAGCCAGGCTTTAATAAAGTAGCAATCCGCTACAATAGTTTTGAAAATCCATTGATATCCTGATCGCTATTTTATTATTTAAACGGTGTGATTAATTTGGGATCTGAGTCATCCCGTTTCGTCTTATTTGTGATACTCTTTCAGAGAATTCCTGTTCCTTCCGATTATCAAATGCCTCGTTGACCTGGATAGAGGAACAGCCTCGTATTGATTTCAAGTGCAGGTTATGCGAGCACGACAACCATTTTGGCTAAACTATGAATTCTGGTTAAATACCCAAATCGATAAAGTTACAGGCAAAAATGCTGAATAATTATTTTTTGTTCTTGAGAAACGCGACGAAATACAGAACATGATTCCTTTCATTTTTTCTTTTTCACTAAACATCTCTCCTCCTTCAGAGGTTTTATATTTTAAAACAATTGAAAAAAAAGAGATAAATAGTTTTCAACTCGCATGTATGCTAAAGCTGAAATCGAAACACTCGATGAAGTTGATGAATAACTGCACTGGTTAAAGCTTGTCTAAAAGACGAACGTAATCATGGTGGACATTTTTAAAGTGGATCTCGAATACTTTTATTCAACCATTTTTAATTTCAAAGGACTCTCTGGCACTATTCAGGGTGTTCCGGAAAAAGAGAGAACAGTGTTTCCAGTCGTTTTCCTCGTATGTATCACGGGCTTCGTACCCGCTACGCCACCTTTAAAAGTTTAAATCTTTCTTTGTGACTAGAACCCATATTAATTCGTAGAAGGGAATAACTTGCTATCTGATGTTTCGCACCTGCTAAACTTCCAGTGCATTATCTCAGGACTGTGTATGGAATTATTAAAATAGGATCATTTATTCTAAAATTCAAGACATAATCAAAAGGAAATTTAAGACAGAAGAAAGGAGTGGGGATTGAACTACAGAGAACACCAAGCAAAACGTGACAATGCAAATTTGCATGAGTTTCAAATATTGCTTTGATCGACATGGGGATAGTTATCTTCCAGGCTTAAAATTTCACGGTAATTAAATAATGAGCTGAACGTGTCATTGTGTAATTATTAATAAGCTGAACTAAGCCCTGAATAAGGAACACTGGCGGGCATGCGGAGGTGGTGAATGAATAAATAATGACTGATTCACGTTATGCAAAACATACAAACGCAACGAAAGCCAAATAGCTTTGAAATGTTTCTGTCAAGTTTATGCATTTTCATAAAACGGCAAAATCATCCACTAAAACCTATTTGATAACCATTTCTTACTACCATTTCGTTAGCCAAACCTGCAATAGGTTCAAATTTATTAATACTTTGTTCTCCATTAAGCAGTTTTCTTAAAGTTGTTAGCTTAGTAAAAGTTCAGATTTGCAATTTCACCCAAGAAAAAGTCATTCTAAAGCCCTTAATACTTACATACTCTAATTAATTATGAAAAGGATATGACCGAGTACAGTCATTTTTTTAATTGGGGAGATTTAAATCACAGATTCACAAAATTGAACATTTTTGATCGATTGGTAAAGAAAAATTCTCCACGTGTCCTATTATTCCAAAAATAGAAATGTGGGTTTTGATTCCCAGGTGTTTGATAGCTGTCAGAGTCCTAGGTTTATCCATTGAAGGGCTATTTTTGGCAGGCG